CCCATCAATAAGACCATATATAGGCTTGGTCCCAATTTGGAAAATTGGGCCATAAGTTGGGCTTTGATTCCTAGTTTGACTTCTGGGCCTTTGGATTGGGCCTTGTGCTTGAATCAAGCCTAGATGGGGGTAATGTAGCATATTACTCCAAGAACTTATGATTATGTGTTGGGACCCAATTATTAATTGGGTGATGTTTTGATATTGATAGATCGGGAATCGGTCATCCAGCTGCTGGAGTTTATCTGCGGGACTTCAGCAATGCCAGGTGAGTCTTCTCACCATACCCATGGGTCTAAGGCACCAAGGCTGGCCCATTATGTGATTCTGATTTATGTATTAGTCATTTTGTGATTTGATATGATCTGTGATGGCATGCTTTTTATGTAAGACCATATGGGGTAGCCCATGGCAGTCCTAGGTAAAGACCATGTGGGGGAGCCCATGACATTGGATGTACGACCATGTGGGGTAGCCCATGGCAGTCCTAGGTAAAGACCATGTGGGGGAGCCCATGACATTGGATGTAAGACCATGTGGGGTAGCCCATGGCAGTCCTAGGTAAAGACCATGTGGGGTAGCCCATGGCATTCTTACAGATTTTATGTATGTATTGCTTATGTGGTATATGTAGCTTTATAGCTACCATGATATGTGTTATGTGATTTGTGTGTGGGGTATGCTATGGGGAACTCACTAAGCTTCGTGCTTACGGTTTACAGTTTTGGTTTCAGATATTACGTTTCAAAGGAAAGGAGTCGGCTCGATCGCAGCGCATCACACTATGATTTTCCGCACATGAGATCTTTGGGGTTTACACTCTGATATTGTTTTATGATAACATGTTTTGATTATTTCTACTTTGCTTTTGACATGACATGATATTATGGATGTTTTATTATGCTGATGGTGTTATAATAACATATTTAAAAATGAAATTTTTAGTCTTGAATTTTGGGACGTTACAAATCATGTTAATACGTAAAAGATGACATGCAAATAAGTTTTGACAAAAATAAAATTTTAAAATGTTTTTAAAGTGTTAAAATTAATTTGTCAAAAGAATGTTAAACTAAACAAGAAACAAACCTCTTTTTCAATGTATATCATATGCTACTCATTTGAAATACACATTTACTCTAATAGCTTTTTGATGTGCTAAAATGCATTAGTTAAACACGTCGGTTGAACATTAAAATGAACATATGTTCTGAGAGTCTTTGTCTGGATGACAATATAGTATAAATGAATGATTTAGTATGTTAACTTGTGATGTGTTGCATACCCATCACAAAAAGAGATAAGTATAGAGATATTAAACATGCCAAATAATCCCAAAATGATCTAAAAGTTCCATAAATATTGGAATTGATAAATGGTTTTACCTACCTAAATAACTTCTCATTGCGACTACGACATACTTCTTCACAAAGTGAAATAAGAATCTTAGTATTTGATAAAGTAATTTTGGATAATTAATTATACAAATGATTATTATCAACTCACTAATAAATATTATTTTTATAGATGTCTTAAAACGCGTAATCACATATTCTTCCGGATCAAACTTTTCACTTGTAAGTATCATGTCGAATAATAAAGTGAATGACTTGAATTATCTTGACTGATATCGAAATTTGAGAGCTATGCTCAAGTACGATAAGAAATGTCGATCCATTAAGTAACCTTACAATAAATCTCCTACTGATAAGGAAAATTGAGCTCAACGAAAAGAGTATCATGATATTGTCCCTGAGTCGACATTTGGTTGCATGCCTTATGCTAGCGACCATTGCTCCCAAACTTCAACAGAGTTTTGGAGAATCTTTTGGCGTATTATATCGCTTAGGGAAATGTTCCAAGTACAAGCTAGGAAATAATGGTTTTATCGCTTAGGGAAATGTTCCAAGAACAAGCTAGGAAATAATGGTTTGATAGGGCGAAACCTCTCATAGGTTGCAAGTTATATTGGGTTTAAGAGAATGGGGTTCCGTGGCGTTGTTTGGTTGCCTTCTGTTTTCCACTATTGCAACCAATCAAATAAACCTTCCCACCGCTTTTTTTCTAAACTCGTTGCGGAATTAATACAATCAGTTCAATGAGTTCATTTTGAAATTTAATATTAATACAATCAGTTCATTGAGTTCATTTTGAAAGTTAATATGAATAATCTACAGAGGCCTACAATGGAATTTCATTGCATGCTAAAGACCTCTACCTCTGAGTTGAACATGGCCGAATATAAGTTGTCCAGCTCAGCCACAATTAGTGGCGGAGGCAATGTAGAAGGAGTGGGGTGTGTGGACCCCACTTAATTTATATTTTTCAATATTAATTTTTTTTATAAAGGTGCCCCCCCCCCCTTTGACTTTAGATGGCACCCACTACTTCCATTGAATACCCAAACCCTTTTCCTTCTTCAGTTTTTTTAATGTATCTTCTTCTTTCTTTTTAACCTAGCCACACACACACACTCCACCAAATCAGATTCCGACTCTGCCGGAGATCAGAAAGGATATTGTCGCCTGAGTCAGATGCCGACTGCCTGAGTGCGCCTCCGACCTCCGACCTCCGCTTCCCTTGTTCTCTCTCTCTCTAGCTCGGTAAATCACTACCTTTAAATATACTTTGATTTTATTAGAGGAAATTGTTTTTTGTTGGTTTAAAAGCTTCTATGTTGGTTTGTGGAATTGTTACTCTTATTTTTTTATTGAAATCAGTTAATATTTGGTTGTATTGTGAATTTTTGGATTTTTGTGGGTAAAATCAAACAATGTCGGCAGTAAGTGTAATTGGAAATTTTTAATTTTTGTTTTGGGATCAGTGGGTGGATCCATAACTTGTTTTGTTATTGTTAGCAGAAAAAAAAAACTTAAATAATATGTAGTTTCATTCGTTTGTCCCATGTATGTCCCCTGTATGCATTATGAATTTGATTTGTTTCATAGTTAAATATAATAGATTGCCAATTGAGTTTTATTATATCAATAAATTATAAATTGTTAATTTCTATTAACAGATAAATGGAAAGATATCTGAAAAGACGGATATCAATCGATGATGCATCTTCATCCGGGATTGCTTCCAATGAAATTCCTCAATCTAGCTCTATTCCATCGGTTCCGGTTGAAATTGATTTGAGTGAAACTCCTTGGGATCCATCTGATAGAAAAAAAAAATTTAGATTATCACCCTAATCAAAGAAATGTTCATTGCTTTGAGTGAAACTCCTTGGGATCCATCTTCATCCGGGATTGCTTCCAATGAAATGTTCATTGCTTTGCTCACCAACTTCAGCTAGTCATTGTGGGAGTTGCAAAAAAACATCACGATGTTGGAGTCTTTTTTGATATGGTATCTGTTCTAATGAATGTTGTGTGTGCTTCTTGTAAACGTACAAATATGATGCGCGAAAGTCAAAAAGATAAATTAGAAGAATCCATTGGTCGTGGTGAAATTAAAACTGGAAGTGGATTAAACCAAGAACTTTCTCTTACTAGAGCCGGAGATACACGTTGGAATTCTCATTACAAAACTCTATCACGTTTGGTTGGTTTATTTTCATCTGGTACTGATGTTCTTGAATATGTTGAAGATGAAGGCCTTAATAGTTTTAGTCAACGTCAAGCAAGTGGTCTTCGAATATATCTTCGATCATTTGATTTTGTATTCCACTTGCAGTTGATGTTGAAAATTTTGGGGATCACAAACATATTGTCGCAAGCTCTACAAAGAAAGGATCAAGATATCGTGAATGTTATAAGTTTGGTGAAATCAACCACTGCAACGTTAAAAAAGATGAGAAATGATGGGTTTGATGCACTTATATTGGATATCACCTCTTTTTGTGAGAAAAATGGCATTCGAATGTTGAACATGGAAGAAGTTTATGTTAACCCAAGAGCCCAAAGACAATATACCGATATCTCCAATCATCGTTATTACGAGATTTTTTGTTTTAACATGGTTTTGGATATGCAAATTCAAGAGTTCAGTGATCGTTTTAATGAAGTAAGCGCCGAATTGCTTATTTGTATGACGGGTTTGAATCCACATGATTCATTTTGTGACTTTGATCCATCAAAGTTACGGAAGTTGATCGATTTCTATCCACATGATTTTAGCTATAAAGATAGGTTGGATATTCTAAATGAACTTTCGGTTTACCCCAATCATATGCAACAAGATGGAAGATTTGCAACTTTGAAGAACATATTCGACCTTGCTAAAGTGATGGTGGAAACCAAGATGCATCAGTTCTTTCCTTTGATTTATTGTTTAGTGAAATTGTCATTGGTTTTGCCTGTTGCAACCGCAACGGTGGAGAGATGTTTTTCTGCGATGAAGCTTGTAAAGTCGGATTTGCAGAATCGGATTTCGGATGATTTTCTAAATGATTGTGTCATTTGTGCGGTTGAAAGAGAAGGATTTTCAAAGATTACAAATAAAAATATTATCAAACGTTTCTTAGCTATATGTCCTCGTAGATTTCAACTGTAAAATGACATTTAGTTGAAGCTTTTAATGTTATTCTACTTTTTCGTAAAAAAAAAATTATAATTATTTTCAATTGGTCAACCGTCAACTATGCATCCACTCAACTTCCGGGCTGGATCCACTGGCCACAATTGAGATTGCCCAAAAGACAATATCCAAAAGCGGTAATCAATTAAGACGGCCAAATCCATTTTCTTTCTATAAAGCTCTACCTTATAAATTTGAAGACTTTCAATTTAAATATTTAACCCAATAATGGAAATTTTGTGTTATAATTAAGTTGGTTATAATTGTTCCACTATCTTCAGGGAATAAAAAAACGCAGCCATCATTTTATTTATTCATAAAAAAGATGAAAGAGCGATTACATGAGATTTATAGATACTCATCTCTCCATGAGCCTACTTATTTTTGCAACTACTCCCATCGATCTCAAAATTCAAAACCGTAAACCTTGACTAGAGATGCGAATGACATTTATTCCTCGATCATTAATCTCCACCTTAGAACATGGTAGATGGGATTCGGCATTGATGCACTTCTAGTTTGCATTGGTTGGGCAGACTTTGAACAATCTGCTGCAAGTCTTGGGTCTGAGGCTGTCCACCACGTCGGCCACGTTGTTGGCTCCCTTGTTGCTGCTGCCTCTGGGCTTGCCTGTACACCTCCTGCATGGCCTCGCACTGGCATTCTTCCTCCACGTTCTGAAGCTCACTGCAGCATTGTTCGAGACCTTGTGGCTGTTGACCTTGCCTGCTGACGCTCATCAGAAGGGTTGCATAGGAACCCATTTGTCGTTGGATGAAATTTTGGCACTGGTTGAATTGTCGGCCTCGGATGTGCTCGCACTGCTGTTGCGAGCCACGGCGGCTGTAGGTGGTGTCCTCGGTGATAGTGGTGAAGGTAGTGATTGAGATTTTTCCGACTTGGCATTGTCTAGTTTGGAGTTTGCATTGGTTAGGAAGGTTCTGAGCCTTCTGCATCATCTGTCTGATCTGCTTGGAACCGAAGCTTCCGCCTTGTTGTCCCTGTTGTTGTTGTTGCATCTTCTGGGCTTCCCGGAATGCTTCTTTCACAGCCTCACACTGGCACTGCTCGTTGACGTATTGGAGCTCTTGGCAACACAACTGGAGGCCGCCCTGCTGCTGACTCGGCCGGTTGTCTTCTGCATACCGACTCTGGCCTGCGCGAGATACCTCTGGCAACCCCTAACTTTTCCGACCGCTATTCAATTATTATGCATATAAAAGTTTAATAATTCAGTTTCTACATATAATATAAAATTCCAATAAACTAGCTTATTTAAATTAAAGAATGAATGTATTTTCTGACATATATTAGCAGTGGTTCACATAAAAAATAGAAAGATGAATGAATATAAAATTAAACTAGGACAATGAAGTATCCAAAACTTTTTGACTCTAGAATTGGAAATACCTTAACTTTACCTGCCTTTACCTTAATGTACTCTTGAGTAGACTTTTTATTGTGCAGCCTTGCATAAAGTCTGATGCAAAAAGAAAAATCATACATATATTGAGAATTATATTGTCATGGTTCAAACACAGGTATAATGTAGAAGATGAAAACTCAGGAAGATAAAGATAAACCTGTTGCAGAAAGAAGAAAACAGAGGAGAACAGAGGTTTGACAATTACTTCTCTATCGAACTCTAGCTAAAGTAGGACCTGAAAATCCTAATTAATAGACCATGAAATATGTTAAATTAAAGAAATATGTTAAATTAAATATGAACTGCCACAAACATAATTTAAGGCATAAAACATAAAAACAAACGTTATGTTATAATGCAAAACTATGTAAACATTAAAAATAACACTTCCAAAACTAACTATCGTAATCAAAATATGCCAACAACCTCCTAAGACAAGAAAATGCCTTAAAAATAAATTTCATATCTTCCAAAAACTATTTAGAGGAAAGAGAATGATTTGTCTACCAACATGGTTGGAATAATAACTATAGTTCAGGACATAAAGTTGTTTTCTTTTTCTATTACATGAAACATATATTCTTCTACATAAACAGATACAGTGAACTAGCTGAAGTTGATGAAAAACTAGCTCATAAAAGATTTGTTAGATAAATTGCAGAGAGATTTGGCTCGATAACATACAAAATGTTATAAATAAAGTTTTCTCTAAGCCATTCAGCTCAATGGTGAAGGCTTAGTTGGGTTGGCATGCATTAGAAAATGCAGTCATGGTAATCTCAACGACACCCATAACCATGTATATTATGTGGTTATTTTAGTTTCAAGTTGGAAGATATGGTAATCCATTCCTACTTAACTCATTAGACACCTAAGTTATCACCAAGTTACATGAGATTATGTGATTATCATCTACTTAAAGCAAACATGGTAAGATGAGTTTTCCATGGCTATTTCCATTTTCCAATGATGAGGGTATTTACGTCTTTTTGACAATCTTGTAGGATGTTGCTGTTTTTTGGAATCAACAACCATTAGCTGCAAGGGACATCCAAAGTTATGATTGACATATCAAATGGTGTAAAAGAGTTGATTAATCAAGAAGTGTCTCCTAAGACTGCGACTTAGAAACACATGTTTTTTTAGTGGAATAATACTTTTTTTGTCCAGAAGAAGCTTTTGTGTTTCCAGGATGATGATAGAACTTAGCAACCTAAAATTGGCAAACCTCAAAAGAATAGAATCTTCAACTCCATTCCAAAGAATAACAATGAAATCCATAAAAAATTTACCTTCTATGCTCTTTGATATTCTTATATATGCTGTGTATATAAGGAAGAAAACGCCAGCCAACATAATAGCTACTTTAGACCCTGGACTAGAAAGCCCTGAAATTGAGAACCACAAGTTAAAATTACCATCATACCCCTCTAACCATAGGCCAAAATAAAAATGTGATACCCCATGTACCCCATGAAAAATCACAATATTACCTTTTTGACAACTTTCAAAGTTCAATTTTACAAATTTACCTGCACATGGGTCAAGTTTTGTTTTTGATGAAGGTATTTACATCATTTTGCAATTTTCATGGGACAGAGAAAAACGTGTTCAAAAACTTCATTACTCTTACAAATCCAAGGAATCATTTTTTGGTCAACTACAACAAGTTATTTTGAATCATTATGAAGGTTAACGTATAAAACTACCTTTACAATTAAAAACCACACCTAATAATCATTAGATTGATCAATAATCAATTTTTAATCATACTTTGAATGTCAAATTGGTATCCCAAACACTCTAACTAAAAAAGGGACAAATATTAGACAAAAATGAAAAAGTATACAAAATATCTTTGAGATTATCTTCCAAGTTGGACAACCTTAATAAAAGTATTGTCAAAATATGGTTAAAATATAAAATACCCATTCCTAAGTCTTAGTCTCAAGGGATACTTCCACATGGTAATAAATGAGATTATAACAAATCCTATTGAGCCTTTTATTGAATAAATTATGTAGTTTTTTCTACATTTACAAAGTACAGTTGACATATTAGATTATTAAGCATGTATTTGGTTGTGATGCAGGACCCCTGGTTACAAATGGTGCAAGTTTGGTTCTTCTTGTTAGCATAGACGTTTGGGAGCATGCATACTATTTACAGGTATCTGTATCTTAGTTAGTGAATAATACTATTTACATGTATGTTCAACTTAAATGATCAATTGATCATATAGTTAAATGTCTGAATGTATTAATTACATGATGCAAATACCTTGTGAAGAAGCATACATAGATGGCGTCAAAGAGATAATTAGCAATCTATGTCATACCAAGGGTACCAAAGTAAGGAAACAACTCTAGGTTTTAGAAAGTAACTTGTTGATAAAGAAGAAGGCCTTTCATATGGCTATGATTCAAGGTGATTCGTGCAAGTAATGCTTAAATATGAGATGGATGATGATTGAAAAAGAAAAGAAGGGGGAAATTATACCTAAAGTAATATTTTGTGCATATGAACTAAACGTAACCTAATATACGACTAAAGCAAATAAAATCAAGAGATTTACATGAATCGGAAAGTTGACGAAGACTAATTTTAGATTTGCTTGATTTTATGGTCGGTGTGGCGGTTACCGGAATTGGAAGCTGCAATGGTGAGTGATGTCGTCATTTGTTTGAACGGAGAGGATGAAATTAGGTTAACAGAGAGCAATCAATAGTCTCATCACCAATGGAGCGCCCAACCTCCTCCCACCAGTCTCGTTCCCTGTCCTTCTGAAGTCAGGAATCAAGTTTGACCTTTGCCCCCTCGGTGCAACTGTTGGTGCGAAAAGCGTTAGCAACATCCGCTAACCATTGCCTGCTCGCAATAGGGTCCTTCTCCCCATAGTAGTTCGGAGCCCCACACTCCCGGAACTCCCTGAAGGTCAAAGAACGTGCTCCTACCAAGGCAACCATCCCAACACTAAATCTATTCCTAGGTTTTCCTAGGGTAAACTACACACCACTCTCCTCCATTAGCTGCAGAAGGAACTCCCGCTAACTTCCTCTAACTAGCTCATGAATAAATTATATATCACCAAAACCAGATAATTCTTCGAATGAGAGGTCTCGTACTACAATGGTTGGACTCAAACAAGAGTTGCGCAATAGAGTTAAAACCTAAGCTTCTAAAATTATCTAGTATTAGTTTTATGTAACTTAGCATATTCACTTACTAGTTAGTTGAAACTAGTTAGGACTCCTAAAAAGCACAAAGCAAGCAGCATTCGAGACTAGGGATTTTGGAGTTAAGGTCTTACTAGCCATGCTAAACTATAAAGTTGGAAACTTTATGGTAAAGAATATCTTTTGTTGCCTAGATCTGAAATTTGGACGTAAGTGCTTAAGGGATTAAACACTTAATAAGAGGTATGGGGAGCAGCCGCGTACGCTGGGCGTACCGAGGGGTACACTACACGTGCGAGGTCAACTCCCCGATCTTTGGTTAACGGCAGAGTACGCCCGCGTACTGACAGAGTCAACCTTGTTGACTCAGTTGACTTTGACCTTGATTTTGACTAGGATTTGACCTAGGGGTATTTAAGGTATTTGAATTGTAGTCTTAGTTTTGGTTACCGTTATTCATAAAGATGACCAGTAGTGTGGATTTCAGAGCAGCGTGTCATTTCAGCTTTTCGTCTGTCTGTAAGGTGAGTCTTCTTACCATCTTAAGTGGGCCGAAGGCACCAAGGCCGACCCACTATATTGTATGAGTAAAATTGTATGCTGTCGTATGATTTTGTATGATGTGATTGTATGATATATGTATTGAGCTAGTCCGGGCTCGAAGTCATTATGGACCCGAGGTTGATTCGGACCCGACACAACTACTTGCTGTTATTTTGGGTTGATACAGACCCTGGAGTCGATACAGACCTGAGACAGCCACATGCCATTATATTATATGTATGTTGTATATTGTATTTTGGGAAGCTCACTAAGATTTATGCTGATAGTTTATGTTTATGGTTTTAGGTACATCCACTTTAAAAAAGGAAGGGCCCGACGTAATGGACAACATCCTCCCTATATGATTTCCGTACTTGATATGATTGTACTTTGATGTTTTCGAATACTGTAATGATTAATGGTTTTTGGTATAGAGTATCAAGCTAATAACTGTTTCAATCATATGCTTCAAGTCTTTGAGGTTTCATAGAGTATCAAGCTAATAACCGGTTGTTTGAATGTCTAGTACTATTGCTAGCACCTAATGGCCATTGTAAAACCCAAAAACCAAATAAATATTATGAAAAATAATTTTGAAGAGAGATTTAATGAATCGAATCGTAGGTTATATTAGAGACAAGGATGAAGAATATGGCCAAGGAAAGAGGACAAAGGTGAGGGGTAGTTTCGGTACTAAATTTGATGGAAAAATTATTACGCTTCGAAGAAAATGTTTGAAAAAGTAAAGTTTCTTAATGAAAAGGGTTTGAAAATCGAGTTTGATAACTGAAAAGCTGATGAAGTTGATTTTTTATTTTATTTTTTTGATATTTTGAGTGACTATGGAAAAGTAATATCTTGATGAAATTGTGAGATAAATTTACATCAATAGTAATATTTTTTCTTATCGTATTAACTCATAAAAAACGAATTAATTCATACATTAAAATGCTCGTTGTTTCTTTTTTATTTAAAAATTAACATATTAAAATACCATATAAATTTACAACATCTGTCGTAGATCATTGATATTTTATGAAACATGACATAATTTTTATGACATACATTTTATATATGTCATAAAACTGTTGTACGTTGTAATACGTCTATCAAAAAAGTTTTTAATTTTTTTTAAATAGTGTTGTCGCTAAAATGACCAAGTTTTTTCGTGTGATGGTTCACTGAATAAACGCATATGATTAAATAAACACATAGGATTGAAGCAATAGTAATCATTACTTGCATTTGGTTGTGTTCAATGTTTTTTCTATGCATTGCACGACTTGAAAATTTGATTTGAAAAATTAAATCATGTTAATACGTAAAAGATGACATGCAAATAAGTTTTGACAAAAATAAAATTTTAAAATGTTTTTAAAGTGTTAAAATTAATTTGTCAAAAGAATGTTAAACTAAACAAGAAACAAACCTTTTTTTCAATGTAAATCATATGCTACTCATTTGAAATACAAATTTACTCTAATAGCTTTTTGATGTGCTAAAATGCATTAGCTAAACACGTCGATTGAACATTAAAATGAACTGATGTTCATGTTCATGTTCAAGTTACCTGAGAGTCTTTGTCCGGATGACAATGTGGTATAAATGAATGATTTAGTATCTTAATTTGTGATGTGTTGCATACCCATCACAAAAGAGATAAGTATAGAGATATTAAAGATGCCAAATAATCCTAAAAAGATCTAATAGTTCCATAAATATTGGAATTGATAAATGGTTTTACCTACCTAAATAACTTCTCATTGCGACTACGACATACCTCTTCGCAAAGTGAAATAAGAATCTTAGTATTTGATAAAGTAATTTTGGATAATTAATTATACAAATGATTATTATCAACTCACTAATAAATATTATTTTTATAGATGTCTTAAAACGCGTAATCACGTATTCTTCCGGATCAAACTTTTCACTTGTAAGTATCATGTCGAATGATAAAGTGAATGACTTAAATTATCTAGACTGATATCGAAATTTGAGAGCTATGCTCAAGTACGATAAGAAAGGTAAATCCATTAAGTAACCTTACTATAAATCTCCTACTGATAAGGAAAATTGAGCTCAACGAAAAGAGTATGATGTTATTGTCCCTGAGTCGACATTTCGTTGCATGCCTTATGCTAGCGACCATTGCTCCCAAACTTCAACGGAGTTTTGGAGAATCTTTGGGCGTAGGGAAACACTACTAGAAACATGGGTTTTAGCGGCGGATGAATCCGTTGTTATTCCGTCACTAGAGGTCTTTTGCGACGGATCTGTGATAGACTTACTCCATAGCCAAATAAAACGTGGTTAATGGCTTAGCGAGAGATTTAGCGACGGACATGATTTTCCTTGCGACGGCTTTAGCGACGGATTATCCATCGCACATTGCTCCCTTAATACCGTTATTTTAGGACATCAGCGACAAAACTAAATAAATATTATGTCGCTAATCCCTTGCAAGCCTCTATATCTGTCTTTTATATTCTGTCGCTAATCCCTTGCAAACCTCTATACCTGTCTTTTCATATTCCGTCGCTGATCCCTAGCAAAATTTAGATGTGATTATTTTTTGTTGTCGTCGATGATCCCTCACAAATATATAATATTAATTTTTTTTATTACAAATCTAAAACAAAAAATACTAAAAACATCAAATAATTATACAATCCCAAACTAAACAATAATAAAATACCAAAAAAATCAACTATCAAATTTTAACAAAACATCCAAAAACATCAAATATCAATGTTTTACCAAAAGGATCAAAATCATCAAATATCAAAAGTTTAATATTGATTGATATTTTATTTCCAAGTATAATGTACCATAACCTCAATTTCGTCTCATATTTTGCATTTCCACATACATCTTGCATCCGAAAGAAGGATCATAATGGAATTGGATTCCGATTCCCGTTAAATCCCATGGAATTAGGCTAACAAAGTTCTACTTACTTTTTCCTGCAATGGAAAGAGACATGGTGTTTGTTGGAAGCTAAACTAAATGCAGGACTAAAATGGAATTGGATTCCGATTCTGACCAAAAAATATATGAAAAAACATGTTACTGAAAGAAAATACCGTGTTTGCATATTGGTCTTCAGAAATTTCTCTTTTGGGGTTTGATCTACCACACCAAAACTAATAGCACAATAAGCATTTATAAAAATGGATGCATTATTTTAAATTAGGAAGAAAATTACAGAACGAACCTTCATGGTCTCTAGTGTCATTGGCCCTTTTTTGATCGCATGCAACTAACCTTATCAATAACTCTGGAAATCAAATGCTGACAAATATTAAAGTAAAAGTAGTTAAATAAACAATTTACATTAGTATCTTTTGTGTAAAATCGTTTTCAGGATTCGCACAGCTTGCCCATCTTTCTTTCCATAGTTGCAAATTTCCTATCATTCTGCCCAAAAAAAAAATTATCAACAAGATAAAACTGGTAAAAAAAATAAAATATATATTGAATGAGAATGGACACAACAGACCGAAGAGCCCCTGGACATGAATTTAGTCATGTAAAAATAAACAAGGGTATAATTATCTTTTGCAAAGTATTAGTTAGAATGACTTCAAGGACATTCAACAGGAAGGACTGACTGAGGGATGCTTATTAGGAGTAAAACTAATATTTCATGTGATATAAAGCTAAAGTCTTTTATTGGACTATTTTACCCCTCCTAGTCCTACCAATAGCATGTGCATGGTACATGACTAAGGTTCTGTTTCTTTTTATTCACTCTTAAAGATGAGATTTTAAACTTACCATTTCAAGAATGGATTTCAAAGAAAAACATATAAAAAAATTAGAATGATGAATAATACTTAATAATTTATGAGTTGTAATAGGTAGAAAGAAAAAAAGAACCTTGAGATTTGTGCTAACAGCAACCATATCATTTGAAAGAGCTTATGGCCTTAAACAACAAAGAAAATGCAACCAAGTTATGTAAGAGAACATAAAGAGTAAGGGTATAATAGGAAGAAAAAAATGGTGTAGTTACCATAAAGTAGATGGGATCCATTCCCTGAATGTGCTTACATTCAGCATAGTCTCAGCTGTAGTAAAAGTCTTGGAAACTACAACAACTGCAGTGGTAGAAGAAAATAACATTAATTATGTAAAAAAAATGTTGTTTGAAATAAAATGAATTACAAAGGAAAATATGAACCTAAAGTTGTCTCGGGATCCAAGCCTGTAATATTTCTTGCAACATCAACTGGATCAAGATTTTGCGAGACTGAAGAAAATACACAGATTGGAGGTTAAAAAAAACAAGATATGGTAAAATCATTGCCAAATTACAAACATCTCAATCATAAATTTATAACAAATTTCATGATTTTGTAAGGCTTTATGAACTTTATTACAAAATATGTATACTTACAAGCGAAGTTGGCATCCTCCAGCTGATTTACTAGCTTCTGGATCTGTAAGTTATCAAAAGAAATTATGATAATAAGATTATTTTATTTTATTTTATAATGCAACACAATACAAAAAGAAGATTAATTAAGAATAAGAACATGGAGTTGAATAAACTGACCGGTTTGAAGAGCAGTGTGCACAAACAATGGACCAAGAAAGCTTCCACCAATACCAATAGCAATTACATTTGTAAGTGGTTTCCCTATGGCTCCAAACTAACAAGGATTTCTTATTATTCAACAGAAGAGAATTATATAATTAATAAATAAAGATTAGTATTTAAGATGGATGTTCATTTTTGAGAAATCTCTGATTATTCATTCTGAGTCATAAAGAGAACAACAACTATTAGCATCAAGAATATAATGCATTTAGAAATAGGAATCCAGTTCATTTATTTCTTTACACTTTTCAAATTCTAGATATAAAAAAAACATCAAAAAATGTGTGAACTTACGACATGAGGCAGTCAAATGATTCAGCAGTCCACATGGAGCGTCATCTGGCGTGTCAACAGGGCATACAAAACCCCATGACCTGTACATAAGTAGAGAAAAAAGATCATACAGAGAAAGTAAGAAAGAAAAATATATATAAAGAAAATAAAAAAGATTTAGATTTAAATTACATACTTTGGCAATAATTTACGCACACTTGTAGCACGAAGTCCTGCAAGTGAAGAACCTCTATGAACAGCTCTAAAATGTGACAAAAATCTGAGAAAATTCTGCCTTTCTGCTTGTACTGCCATACCAGCTTTCTAGCAAACAAATGTGATTCCCCAGAGTTAAATTTTTTAAACAATTTCTACAATATTTATTAAAGAAATGAGTACCTCTTTCAGATCAAGAGTCGACTGTGCAACCAATCTTCCAGTCTTCAACATATTTTCAACATCTGAACCAACTTGTTTTGCAGGATTCTTATCCAATGCCTTCTTCACATCATCTACTGAAATAATTAAACCCCCCAAAAAAAAAGAATTTAGATCAACAATGTTTTAACATATTTTCAACATCAGGCGCTGTACGGACCTCCTCCGCAGTCAGCTGGAATGCTCTCCCACGAGCCCTCGGAGTCTCGGCCTTCCCCGGCCGACCGTCAGTAACACATAAAGCAGCAGGAGCAGAAGCCTGGGCTGATCCCTGAGTGAGCTAACAAAAGAATGTGTTAAAATTAATTTGTCAAAAGAATGTTAAACTAAACAAGAAACAAACCTCTTTTTCAATGTAAATCATTTGCTACTCATTTGAAATACACATTTACTCTAATAGCTTTTCGATGTGCTAAAATGCATTAGCTAAACACGTCGGTTGAACATTAAAATGAACTGATGTTCAAGTTACCTGAGAGTCTTCGTCCAGATGACAGTGTGGTATAAATGAATGATTTAGTATCTTAACTTGTGATGTATTGCATACCCATCACAAAAAGAGATAAGTATAGAGATATTAAACATGCCAAAGAATCCCAAAAAGATCTAAAAGTTCCATAAATATTGGATTTGATAAATGGTTTTACCTACCTAAATAACTTCTCCTTGCGACTACGACATACCTCTTCACAAAGTGAAATAAGAATCTTAGTATTTGATAAAGTAATTTTGGATAATTAATTATACAAAATATTATTATCAACTCACTAATAAATATTATTTTTATAGATGTATTCAAACACGTAATCACGTATTCTTCCGGATCAAACTTTTCACTTGTAAGTATCATGTCGAATGATAAAGTGAATGACTTGAATTATCTTGACTGATATCGAAATTTGAGAGTTATGCTCAAGTACGATAAGAAAGGTCGATCCATTAAGTAACCTTACCATAAATCTCCTACTGATAAGGAAAATTGAGCTCAATGAAAAGAGTATCATGATATTGTCCCTAAGTCGATATTTGGTTGCATGCCTTATGCTAGCGACCATTGCTCCCAAACTTCAAAAGTGTTTTGGAGAATCTTTGGGTGTATTATATCGCTTAGGGAAATGTTCCAAGTACAAGCTAGGAAATAATGGTTTGACACAGTGAAACCTCTCATAGGTTGCAAGTTATCTTGGGTTTATGAGAATGGGGTTACGTGGCGTTGTCTGGCTACCTTCTGTTTTCTACCGCCATTGCAACCAATCAAATAAACCTTCCCACCGCTTCTTTTTTCTTTTGCGTCCCTACGACGCCATTCCTACCCTGCCGATCAGATTTCTTTCTTCCTGAAGCTTCTCGTACCACCTCTCCCACCTGAAGGTGGGAGTGTCAGTACATGTCCTTAGAGCATCCATAATGGTGAGTTTAATATGAGAGTTACATGAGATGTCAAACCTAAATGTCATTAAATAGATGAAAACTCTACCATTATGAGATACCACCTTGACATTCAATAAATTTGGAGTTCAATGACCATTGAACTCTTTAATGGAAAAAAGAAAAGTTTTAATTTTTAAATATATATTATAAATTACCTTTTGTAAGACTGTAGATGTAATTATGTAGAGTACTAGAGTTTAAATACATTGTAGGAAAAAGAAATGATAGAATTGAATAGATCGTAGAAAGATGATTCGGCCATCCATTTTGTGAATGCCCATATGCAAGGTATATATTGATTAGCTTAGCGATTATGTTTTCTGATAATGCAGAGTTTGCTACAAATATAATTCTAAACTCGTTGCCGAGTTAATACAAAAATATAATTCTAAACTCGTTGCCGAGTTACTACAACCAGTTCAATGAGTTCATTTTGAAATTTAATATGAATATATAATCTACAGAGGCCTACAATTAATGGAATTTCATTGCATGCTAAAGACCTCTACCTCTGAGTTCAACATGGCCGAATATAAGTTGTCCAGCTCAGCCACAATTGAGATTGCCCAAAAGACTATATCCAAAAGTGGTAAACACCAAATAAATTAAGACGGTCAAACCCATTTTCTTTCTATAAAGCTCTACCTTATAAATTTGAAGACTCTTTCAATTTAAATATTTAACCCAATAATGGAAATTTTGTGTTATAATTAAGTTGGTTATAACTGTTCCACTATCTTCAGGGAATAAAAAAACGCAGCCATCATTTTATTTATTCATAAAAAAGATGAAAGAGCGATTACATGAGATTTATAGATACTCATCTCTCCATGAGCCTACTTATTTTTGCAACTACTCCCATCGATCTCAAAATTCAAAACCGTAAACCTTGACTAGAGATGCGAATGACATTTATTCCTCGATCATTAATCTCCACCTTAGAACATGGTAGATGGGATTCGGCATTGATGCACTTCTAGTTTGCATTGGTTGGGCAGACTTTGAACAATCTGCTGCAAGTCTTGGGTCTGAGGCTGTCCACCACGTCGGCCACGTTGTTGGCTCCCTTGTTGCTGCTGCCTCTGGGCTTGCCTGTACACCTCCTGCATGGCCTCGCACTGGCATTCTTCCTCCACGTTCTGAAGCTCACTGCAGCATTGTTCGAGACCTTGTGGCTGTTGACCTTGCCTGCTGACGCTCATCAGAAGGGTTGCATAGGAACCCATTTGTCGTTGGATGAAATTTTGGCACTGGTTGAATTGTCGGCCTCGGATGTGCTCGCACTGCTGTTGCGAGCCACGGCGGCTGTAGGTGGTGTCCTCGGTGATAGTGGTGAAGGTGGTGATTGAGATTTTTCCGACTTGGCATTGTCTAGTTTGGAGTTTGCATTGGTTAGGAAGGTTCTGAGCCTTCTGCATCATCTGTCTGATCTGCTTGGAACCGAAGCTTCCGCCTTGTTGTCCCTGTTGTTGTTGTTGCATCTTCTGGGCTTCCCGGAATGCTTCTTTCACAGCCTCACACTGGCACTGCTCGTCGACGTATTGGAGCTCTTGGCAGCACAACTGGAGGCCGCCCTGCTGCTGACTTCGGTTGTCTTCTTCATACCGACTCTGGCCCTGCGCGAGATACCTCTGGCACTGATTGAATCTTTGTCCCTGGAGCTGTTGGCTGCACTGCTCCTTCGAGAATGTGCTTTCCTCCTCGATGGTGGTGGTGATGATGGTGCTGTGGGCGGAAGCAAAGGCTACAAGGGCTGTGAAAGCAAGTGCTAGTGCTATGAGCTTTGCCATTGTGGGATGGTTGTGAATCGATGGTTGTGGTGGTGGGTATTTATGGTACATGTGGGTGCACACGTGGAGAGCTGGTTGTAATAGGTGGCGAAGTTGAATACTGTCGAGCAACACGTACGAGTTTTTACATCTCAAATGTAACAAGTGGAAGTGCTTTTTTGGGAGTTTTTATACTAGCTAGGTGTCTATTCTGTTGTTCGAACGCTTGTGGTACTGTAATGGCTCCAGATGGATTTGGAGTAATAATATAATATATTTCTTATATATAATTTTTAGTTAGCCACGTTATATCTTATTGGTACGACAAGAAGTAGTCTAATCAAAGCTAATGAGTTCGTTTGAGTTTACTAACATAACATGGTTATTGGTTAGTTTAGCGTAATAATATTAGGTCTAGCTTGTCTCAACTCGTTTGTAGTCCTAGATCATTAAGATCTATAAATATAAAAATTTGATATATTGGGTTTAGATACAAACCAAACTAAGCCAAAAATTAACTTTGGGTTTTTTATTTTATCTAAAAGATAAAAACTAATATTTTAGAATTCTTAAGAAATAAAACATTTTGAATTAAATGAAACAGATAACTAAATTTTTAAATGATTTTAAAAAAAAATATATAAAAAAATATATTCTTTCTAGTTTTGATTTTTAGAGTTAATGGTCGAAATGTTTCTTATCCTGTTACCTCTACTTAATTAAATATTGCACACTAATTTGCTTTGAAAACCGGACCGGCCGGTTTAACCGGGAACCGGTCCCGGTTCCGATTCTTGGAGATCAAAAAATCATTCGTCATGTGAAACGGTAAAAAACTGGTGGAACCGGTAAAAACCGGAAATTTTAAAAAATACATCTCTTTTTATCATTTTTTGTATTTTTTATATAATTAAAATTAATAATAATATAATTATGTCATCATCCAGTTTTTCCGATTTTTGAGACTGATCTGACTGGTTAGACTAGTTGAACCATCAAACCGGTAAAACGACTGATTCGATCTCCTTCCCGATTTTCAAAACTTTGCTCATTGTACAATATGTACTTATATTTGTCCTAGATAGACAACTTTTATTTTTGATAATAAGTGTATCAACAGTTTTAAGAATAATTTATTATTTTTCACCATTAATTTACCAAAACTTTTATCCATCATTACATAGTTTTCTAGCATTAGTGTAACACCGTAAATTTTCAAATAATTTTTCATTTTTAAATCACATAAAAACTCAATGTCCCATGTTCTCGAAAACCACAATGTATCAAATGTCAAACACAAGTCAACAAAACAACTGATAATCCCAAAATCTGCAACATAATCTGCAACAAGTGTGTACAATCAAGTCGGCGCCTTCCCGCGATCCTGAGAAGTACCTGAAACATATATCACACAACACTATAAGCACAAAGCTTAGTGAAGACCCTCCGGTCCTGTATCTCAGTGAAGACCCTCCGGTCTCACAACTCGGTTTGGACCCTCCGGTCCTATCTCAGTAATGAACAGAATAATATAGCATATATCACAAAGACAAGATGCATACTATCACATAACTCAATATAAGCACATAGGAGCCTCCGATCGATAACTCAAATAAGACCCTCCGGTCACACAACATTACCACTCAGGTAAGTATAGTGAGAAGACTCACCTCGTAAGTAAGCAAGTAGATCTAGTACCCCACGAACAGTCTAGACTCGGCCTACATCACATAATTATCTCTAATAAGCAATTTGTAATAACCACCAAGCTAACTCTTCCACTAGGTCTCAAAAGGGTGAAAGACCATTTTACCCCTCCATGGTCTCCAAAGTCCACTATTGACCAAACCCTAAAAGTCAACGGAAGTCAACACTTGAGTCAACAGTCCATGTTGACCGAACTCGGCGAGTACAGCTATGTGACTCGTCGAGCTCCCCCTGTCCTCAGAAAATCGGGAAAACTCCAACCTAACTCGTCGAGTTGTCTTACCAACTCGCCGAGTTGTAGCGCGTTCAGACCATCGGGGAAACCATTGCTGACTCGTCGAGTTGGCTCATGCACTCGTCGAGTCCCTCTAGGCCAATTCTCATTTCGACAATTCTAAGCAGAAATAATGTCCCAAACTCTAGATCTAGCCTCCCAAGGCTGAAATACCACGTAAAGTTGCAAGCTTTACGTCCATGCATGGCATCTAGGGCTCAAAATGCCATAATAAGCTCTATATGGGGTCTAATGCATAAAGCTTGTCTCTAGCTTGATAAAGCTTGGATCTTTGGACTCAAGGGGCCTCCTTCAGTCCAGATCTGATGTCTCAACTTCATGTCATGCTCAAATGACTCAATACCCAAAAGATGGATGGGAGAAAGCCCTAAAACTCCCTAGAAAGAGATCTATCAAGGAAATGATCAAGGTGGTGGCTTTTTACCTCCAAACTGAAGCTAGCACAGAAAAACTCTTGATCCAAAAGCCTCTTCTCGTTCCAAGCCTTGCTGCTCTTCACTCCCCTTCCAAATATGCACTAGAACACTCAAAGGTAGCTTCTCTCTCTCTCTCTCTCTCTCTCTCTCAAATGGATACACACGATTAGGGTTTCTCACAGAGGGTTGGGATGATAAGGGTTTTATCACCCAGTTCCTACTCTTCGAGTCGGGATCCTCTGACTCGTCGAGTAGACTCTAAAATCATGCGGCCATTACAGTCTCTACTCGGCGAGTTGGTTCTCCCAACTCGTCGAGTTGCCCTGTCGAAATGAATGAAATTAATTAAGTAATATACTTGGGACTCGGGATGTTACAATTCTCCCCCACTAGAATCAGACTTCGCCCTCGAAGTCATCCTCCGGAAACAACTCGGGGTACTACTATCGCATCTCGGACTCCGGCTCTCAAGTCCACTCGGATTCCTTCCGATGTTGCCACTGAACCTGAACCAAAGGCACCTCTTTGTTCCTCGAAACCTTCACCTTCCTATCCAAAATCGCTACCGGCTTCTCTATGTAGTTCAGGCGCTCATCAACCTGAATTTCCTCTAACGGGACCACCGTCGTCTCATCTGCTACACACTTCCTTAGCTGGGACACATGGAAGGTGTTATGAATCTGACTCAACTCCGCAGGCAGCTCCAACCGATAAGCTACCTTACCCACTCGAGCGATCACTCTGAAAGGACCGATGTATCTAGGGCCCAGCTTACCCCGCTTCCTGAATCGGATCACCCCTTTCCATGGGGATACCTTCAGGATGACAAAATATCCGACCTGAAACTCCAGCTCTGAACGGCGCCGGTCGGCGTAACTCTTCTGACGACTCTGGGCCGTCAGTAACCTTTGTCTGACCTGCTGGATCCACTCTGTCGTCTTGAGCACTATCTCAGTGCTTCCCATCACTCTCTTCCCTACCTCTCCCCAACAGATGGGAGTCCGACACCTCCTCCCATATAAGAGCTCAAAGGGAGGCATACCAATACTGGAATGATGGTTGTTGTTGTATGAGAACTCAGCCAAGGGCAGGTAAGTGTCCCAACTTCCTCCGAAGTCCATAACACATGCACATAGCATGTCCTCGAGCGTCTGAATCGTCCGCTCGCTCTGCCCGTCGGTTTGTGGGTGGTAAGCGGTACTGAAATACAACCGGGTGCCCAACTCCTCATGAAATTTCTTCCAGAACCTGGAAGTAAAACGCAAATCCCAATCTGACATTATCAATGTTGGCACCCCATGCCGTGTCACCACCTCTCTCACGTATATCTCAGCCAACTTCTCCGCAGAAGAGCTCGCACTGATAGCCATGAAGAGAGCACTATTCGTCAACCGATCTACAATCACCCATATCGCATCGACACCTCGCGTGGTCCTCAGTAATTTGGTGATAAAATCCATGGAAATCTGTTCCCACTTCCACTGGTGAACCTCTAACGGCTGCAACATGCCATGTGGATGTTGGTGCTCCGCCTTGACTTGACGACAGATCAAGCATCTCTTGACTACCCATGCCACATCCCACTTCATATAGGACCACCAATAATCCCTTTTTAAGTCCAAATACAGCTTAATGGCTCCTGGATGGATCGAGAATCTCGATCTATGGGCCTCCTCCATCAAAATACGCCAAGCTCCACCCATATATGGCACCCAGATCCGCCCATGATAGGTCATAAGCCCACAACTATCGGTCTCAAACTCAGAAATCTGCCCAATCACCCGCTCTTTCTTATGGTTCTCTGATCTCATGGCCACCACCTGGGCCTCTCGGATGGTATCTAAGACTGGAGTCATCACCGTCATCCTCATGCACACGTCTCAGATCGGAGCACTCACTGCTCGACGACTCAGGGTGTCGGCTACCACATTAGCCTTGCCAGGGTGATACAAAATCTCACAGTCGTAGTCTTTCACTACATCCAACCATCTCCTCTGTCTCGTATTCAGGTTGGGCTGATCCATAAGGTACTTCAGGCTCTTATGGTCTGTATATATGGTGCACCGAACACCATACAGATAGCGGCGCCAAATCTTGAGAGCGAACACCACCGCCCCCAACTCTAAATCATGGGTGGGATACCTCGTCCGTGAGGCTTCAACTGCCACGATGCATATGCAATCACGTGTCCTCTCTGCATCAATACGACACCCATCCCCGATATAGATGCATCACAGTAAACTACGAAGTCCTTCACTCCCTCGGGAAGGGATAACACTGGAGCTTCGCACAATCTCTGGCGAAGATTCTCGAATGAGGCCTGCTGCTCGGGCCCCCAAGCAAAAGTAACATCCTTTCTGGTAAATCTGGTAAGAGGAAAGGTAATCTTGGAGAAATCCCTGATAAATCTCCGGTAGTAATCTGCCAGGCCAAGAAAACTCCTGATCTCAGATGGGGACCTCGGCACCTCCCATCGCACAACTGCCTCAATCTTGGCCGGGTCGACCAAAATCTCATCCTGGTTAACGAGATGCCCCAAGAACTGGACCTCTCGTAACTAGAAATCACACTTGGAGAATTTGGCATAACGCCTCTCCGTCCTCAACACTCCAAGAATCTCCCGAAGATGTTCCTCGTACTGCTCTCTGGACCTC